CGAGGTGCACATTACACTTTTCTTTGCGACTGTAAACTTGAGTGCCACGTACATCGTAGCTAATTATAAGTTTCTCCTAGAGTGCAGTTTTTCTTTTCGTATTTGCAATGTTTTCAATGCACCATATAGTATTGTAATAAAGTAGAGAATCGAATGGATTTATTGTTTAAATGTTTATGTGGAAAACAAATCAAAGGGCAATAAAATCGAGTTTTATACCTTCTATTCGGGATTTGTTTCCCTCAATAAATACGTTCCCGCTCGTTAAGAGAAGCATGTAAAGTTTTGCATGGAACTTCGGAACCCCTTTATAAAGTCTTGTATTTTTAGGTTACGTAGTTGTCGTGGTGAAATGTTTTTAAATTTAATATCCCCCGTCAGTCGTACGTTTGAAAGAAATATTGAATGGCTTGCGGGGAAGGAAGTATTTTATTTTCATTCTAATTGCGCGGCTTTTTTTAGTATGACAAATTAATAGAACATATGCCACGAAAGAGTTACGATATTGACCGGATTTTAAAACTAAACAAATAATAAAGTTTCAGTGTATGAGACATTTTTGTTTCTTTAATTTGTAACCTCTCAAAAAAATTTAATGTGTGACAAATTACACCTTTCAAGCAAAATAGTATCTATTTAAAAAAAACTATAAAGCTAGTCTGCAATGCCGCGCAGGGTCGGGTGAAATTATGGGGGTTCAAAGAGGATTACACGAAACTTTATAAGGGGTAAGGCAGTAAACTATGAGAGTATATAAACTCTGAGGCAAAGCAATAAAGTTCCAAGTGAAAGAGAAATATTTTTTTGCAAAAGTTCGCGTTCAATGTACTATATAAGTTGAAATAAGGCCGATGACGCAAATCAAAAATTTGATCCCAATACATCTAGCGTTAACAAGGCTTTTTAACAAAGAACTGACTACATTTTTTTTTAATTTCGCTTTAATTAATTACTATTAATGATTACGTCTGTATAAATGTATTTCGTCTTTTGAAAAGTACAATAAAATAAAACTTTAGAAATATCCCATACCATTTTGACCATGATAAATATCCTAATATTAAAAATAGACCAGCATCACATACGAAGACAAATTTCAAGTTAAGCTGGACTTCAAACAAGAGGACTAAAATAAACATTTTGAATACGACACAGTGTCGCATCGAAAATTAAGACGTTTTAAAAGTTCCCCTCGTATGCTGGGCTTTAGTTAGCTGGATGTTTCGCATTTATCAAGATTTATAGGTCGTTTATTTCTTTCAAAATGATTGAAAACATTAACTTTTTTTTCTTTCTCTTCATCAAAGAAAAGAAATCTTCGTGTCAAATAAAACTACATGATACTAATGTGTATTTCATGTTAATTGCTATTTACTATAATGTTACTTCGGATCTAAATTAATCTAGAATCATTCGGTGCTTAAGTTTACTGACATTCGTTGCATTAGATACTAAAGATTTAAAAGATAATTAAATCAAAAACAATGAACCAAAGGGACACCTATATTTCAATTACCAAAAAAACCTAATTTAATTTAAAAGGAATATCTAAAATTTTCTAGTACAACTTCAAAATATATACTTTACTGGAATAGAGAGGATAAAACTCTACCCGTGGAATAACCTTTTATTTGAAGAACTAATTAAAATCCATACATTTCAAATACATTTAAACTTAATGGCATATAAATATAAAATAACATAAACATAAACCTTAAAGCTACCGAATCTGAATTAGATTCCCTTGATGTTCATAAAATTAATTTTCTAAAATCAAACAATAAAATACTATTACAGCAAACATCAAATTGAATACATAAAACCAACAAATTCTCATTAAAACTCCATCCAGTAAAGCTAATAACCGCTGCGACTATTAAGAAATTTTATCTTTCAAAAGGCATCCAAAAGCGACAGTTAATTTCTCGTGACATAAATAAAAACAGAACGAGAGAGGAGGGTAAGGCCTTCCCTCGTAGGAAAAAAATAACAAACATATCTCTCAAAGTAAGAAAACAAACAACGTATGTTAACATCTGTCGTGGCACGAGCGGGTACAGTCGATAACTAAAGTTTTATATATTTTTGTTTTTTTTTCTGTTTTTTTCTTTAATCAAAATAATATGTTAAAGTTCTGTTATAAAGATTATACGATAATATAATATATAACAAGTTCAATGTTTTTATAGACAAGAGTTAAGGTATCAAACTAGCCAGAATCCGTAAATTTCATATTAATTTTCTTAGGTTTTTTACGTTAAAATTCATTCTATAACTAAAAACATTTAAATTCTGTTTGTGGTGTTAAGTTGTTTCCTACAAGAATATAACTTAGATTGATGATGAAAGTTTAAGTTAAACTTGTTGAAAAATGCTACTTAATTTTTCCATGTTCTCACAAAGATGCTAGTTTTCCATCACTTTGACAGGCCACTTGGAAGGAATCTTTAAGAATAAACAATGATAAACAGCTAGAATGATGCAAAAAGACATTATAAAATAAAATCACATTAAAAAGAAAATAATCTTTTTGTCCCTCCAGACCAACATTTCAGGATCAATTAAAAAAATATGACTAACTTCCACCATAATTTCATAAGCAGTAAATTAAATTCTTCGAAGTAAATCCACAAAAAGTATTAATCTGTTAGCCATTAATGATAGGAGACAAAATTTGTAAAATTGAATGCAAAAAATATGTGACGTAATAAATACTTTTGCACACGATTGTACAGTCGGCTTCGAAATTCTATACGTCAGTGTTGATTGCAGTTAATTATAAAATCGTATCCCTCTTATTGTCTATACTATTTTTAGTTTCAACTTACAAATTAAGCAGCATTTTATTTTCATTCTTTTGTAGCATTTTGAAAGTTCTTTTCCCTTTGCTCTGAGCATTTCATTCAAGTTGTTAAATCTGCGACGATCTTTAGGTTACATTGGAATTAATTTTACTTGCAGTTCAGAAGTGTACTACGGGGTCAAAGTTTACTTCTTACTTAAATTATAAATGCGAACGTTTGGATGGATGGATGTTTGTAGAAGTTATCTCCAGAACAGCTGCATTGATCTCGACGAAATTTAGCATATACGTAGAGGAACTCACAGGCCTGGAAGAACTCCTAGGTTAATAAAGTTTTTTTTTCAAATACCGCGCGTACGCAGTCTCGGACGTCAGCAAAGTAAAATATATCTAAGATCTATTGCTAAAAAATTACCTAAGATCTATAATGTTTCAAAACGCTATAAATTAGTTCTTTATGAAGTAATGAACGCTACTAATAATATTATTTATTAGTGCTACTGTCCGCAGCACAATTAACTGCTGCACGAAAGGTCAACTCACTTGGTGCATTACCATGACGACACACAAGGCAGATGTAAGTGGAATTAATTCCGTAATTGAGTTTTTAATTGTTTCTTATACTAGTGTTAGTGATTTCTTTAACAGTGGTAGAGCCCGCTTTAACATCTTTCGTTCGCCCGGTGAAATACCAGAAGACAGGCGTGAAGTGGAAGCAATTCCGCGTTTCGTCTGATGAGTGTGCGTCCCGGAGGCCTAATTTCCTCTTTCCCTTCCCACCTTTTGTCTTATAACGAAAGGATGTGAAGTGGAAGTGGACTTTCCGGATGAGAGGATGCATGGAAAGGGAATATATTTTCTTTCTGTGCATCCTCTCCTCCGTCGATTAAAGGTAGGCAACGCATATGCAATTGCGTATGTCTATGGGCAACGGTCACTTCGCTATTTCAGCGATTTCAGGTGGCCGCTCGCTCGTTTGCCACCTTATGATATAAAAAAACTAGCTATAATTGATTATAATCTTCATTTAATTTTTACTAAGTAAATCTGCAAAAAAATGTTTACGTAATTATTTTTCTCATACAAATCTATATTAATAACCCTTTGTAAGATTTTAACAACGGCCTAAATCAATATTGTTAAAGTTGACCCTTCTACAGCCGTCGTGTAAATGTTTAGATTTAATTTTAATAGGATCAAAAGGTATTGCTAAATTAATTACAAGCTAATTCCAAATTCTCAATGAATTAACACAAAATATCAAAATAATTTTGAGCTAAAAAATAATAAAATCAATCGCCACACACGATGGTTGTTTGGTAAGAAGAGATTTTATAGTTTTTATGATATAGACACACAGGGAAAATTATTCATTCGTCATCAGCTCACCCAAGCTACCCCAAGTTAAGGGTGATTAGGCCATAGTCAACCACGCTGGCCAAGTGCGGGTTGGTTGACTTCACAATTATTCATTAGGACACACTAAAGTTTGCAAAAAATACGCGCTGTAATAAATTTAATTTTTGCATAAGAAAAAAAGACTAATATTATAAATGCGAATGTTTAGATGGATGTTTGTTTGTAGGTATCTCCAGAACGGCTGAACAGATCTCGATGAAATTAAGCATACATATAAAACAGTCTGGAAGAACACATAGGCTACTAATTATGTTTCTTGATGGTAAATGACGGGGCCGCGGGCGACAGCTAGTGTTCACATAATTAAGAAAAGAATTAATATATAAACGTATAAGGCTTTTGTTTTTCGCAAAGAAAGCGACGTATTTAATATGAAATTTAATTTGATGGTAAATATGTGGGTAGCCGTGAATATAACGTTAATTTTGTAATTGAGAAAATCAAGCATTAGCAAAATATAAACAAAAGTTATAAAGAAAAACGCTTATATGTGGAAATTATGAAAGGTTCCCTAAGGGATTTATTACCCGTCTTTGTTCCTTTCATGCCTTAATGTTTACTTTGCATGCGTATCGCTTACAGATTTATATTTATATTTTAATTGCTTCTTCACACAGGGTTTTAGTGGAGATTTTTGGACCGCTATTGGATGCGAATATCTTCTCTCTCATACGTATAGCTTGCGACCTTTGCGATTGCTATCTTATGTCTCCCTCTAACAGACACTTAGTTGGCACGGGACGGATCCCTTATGTAAGGCAGTGCTTTTCGTCGTTGCGCTGTGATCAGACGTGTGCGCGACTTCACTAAATAACAACGAAACATGCCGAACTGTGTATTTTATACTGTGTTAACAATTAATTCTTTATGTGAAAATTTTCTAGTATTTTAAAATATAGTGCTGTATTTAGTGCTTAAATTGTGAAGAAATATATGTAGAAAGTAAATGAAAAGTCCGATAAAAAGTTTCATGATTAAAAGAGATAATAAACATTTTCGCGTTAGTTTGAGAGACAGATTCTTTGTATGATGTTGGAAGGTATCATTAGATGTGTTTGTTTAAAATCGAGTCATTTAATCCCAGTTTTCTGTATGAAGATCCCTTAATAAAATAAAAATAACCAGTGCGTCTCACAGGATCTTTAATATATGAAGTGGCATTAATTTTAAAAGCCGAAAGTGTCATTTGGTTATTTGTCAACGAGTTAATTACGTACGAGAATAAATGTTGACAGATTTAGTGGGGAAAGGTGGGCTTGTTAAAATAAGTTGTGACATGACGCTTTCGAATCATTTAGTTCTTTAAAAGGAATGAAAAAAAATTTTTAATACAAGTGACAATGTAAAGTAGTGAATTAAAAAAAATAAGTGATATTTAGGAAACGAATTTAAGATAGCAAAATGGCAGAGTATTCGAAGAGGATGCGTCATTCAAATGTGCTGAATGCCATACTTCTATTCATCACAATGATATATGGTAAGTTAACATAATTTATCTTTTTTCTTTACTATCTTATCTTTTAATTCATCTAACTACAAATTGTGTAACGGATAGCAGATTTCTTTTATGAAATATTAATCATCACCCTTTATCTTAACAAATGTAGAGATAAAGGTTGATGTATATAATAAAAAAATCCTACAACCTTAAAGGTATGTACTATTAATTGGAATGATCAACCCATTAGTAACTATGCGTAGTAATTAAGAAATAATCCTTTTCAAGAGACCTTCGCTAATTGAAATTCTTAATTAGTACTTAATTTCTTCATGGAGTTTTTCTTGTACCAGAGGGTTAACAGCCAGTTCATGGATGGTCATACAGGGAGTGGTTTCAGATGTTCCTAAGTAGAATGTTATGGGACTGACATGTTCAAAAGAACGAAAGACCCTAAAAAAAATTGAAATTCTTATAAGAACTTATAATGTCTTTGATTTTGAAGACTTGATTTTTATTAAATACATCCCATGTCTGATAGATAAGAGGATTCTGTAAGATTTGACATTGTCAGCTATGCGGGTCGGTTTATTTTAGGTTACAAAGTATGTAATTCGTTTTTTTTTGTATTAAAAATAAATGTTCAAACATTTTGGATATATTATAATTAATTTATATACAAAATTAAAGGGTTTTAAAGGAAATTAATAAGGGATCTATTATTTCTTATAACTAAATATTGGGTTAGTGGTATGACAAAACCTTTTACCCTATTTATATGTAAATATCAAACACATGAAAAGGTGACACTTCTATCCAGTTTCTTATTCATTGTAAAATTGTTTTTAAAATTATTTGCCTTGTTATGAAAATAATATAGATTGAAATTATAAATTTCCTTTTGTCCATCAGAAAGTTTAGGTAGGAAATAATTTCACTTCCTAGTCAATTAGAAAAGTTTTAAATTGTAGGAGAATTTTCAGGACGTCATAATCAAGTGGCGCGCTCTGGCGGCGAATTGTGTAAATGCACTTAGGATGTCTTGACGCTTGAATGAACGGTTACTTTGTGGGGAAAGTTTTTATTGCGCGAGCAATTGTGGTCTGTAGAAGGTTGATTAGTCCGAAGATTCCTAGACCAAAAATGAATCATTCTAAATTTCATGTTATTCAGAGAAGTTTCTACCTCTATATTATCATATGTTAGAGAAACCTATAACTTGTTTGTAGAGACATGAGTTTTCCCGTTGTCATTAAAAAAAACGACGCAATATTTTTTTTTATTTATTTAAGCTTTGTACACAATACAATGTAAACTGGTGAATTGAACTGTAAAAGAGTTCTCTTACAGCTGACCATGCTTTCGAGAGAGGATGTTTAGTGGCTAATAACTAGGTAACTATAATGTGTCTTAAATAAGGTTTATTTATTGAAAGCTCCCTACAACAATATCTAACGCAAACCACAGAGAATCTGCATTATATAATCTACATTAAAATTAAATTTTTGATTATACTTATAATATGAGTCGTGAAATTATATGTATAAGTTGGTAGTAATAAAAAAATACGCATATATTACCGACCTACATGCCAGCCGCAGACTTAATTAGACACTTGCAAAGCTTTCAGTCCAAAAGCTCGCGCGTTTTATTTGCTTTCGACGGTTTGCATAATAATAAATACTTTAAAAATGTCGCATTCAAGACTCGAAAGGCTTTTGTTCCATTTAAAATACTCGCTAAAGGTAAAGTTTCGTGTTACAATTTTTATTTATGGTTTAGTAAAATAAAATGGAAATTGTTGATGATTTAAACGTTAAATAAGTTTTTTCAGTGGTTACAGTTAAGTTTCTTTATAAAAATTTCTATATAATGCTGTATTGCCCTCATTAAAAAAACGTTTATCATTGATTCGAATTAAAACAATCGAAATCCTTGAATTCTAACAATCGTTTCTCTCTGCGTCCTTGTTCCAATCAAGTAGGGTGCACGCACCAGTTTTCGTCCTCCGTATCGATCTATCTTTCATCTCAATAGTCCTTTCCTAGGTGTACCTCTACTGGTGTACCCCACCTTATAATTACACTCGTCATATGATTCTTCCCTTTTCATAACCACACACTAACTTTCTAAAATTCGTTTGTCATAGATTATAAACTGGGATCAACATCGCGTTAGATCTTATACAGTCTGCAATTTTCTTTTGAATAAAACCGGGTCGTTCGTTAGCACGCAACTTCCCATGCCTGATATGCTTCTGATTTTCATATAAATGCGGCTAAATGGAAATTAAAAGCGAATTATAAGGCTAGATTATGATTGTACATAGCTTTACACATGATTGTACATAACGTACACAACATTATTTTTTTTATTTCAATGAGTTCACTATAATTTTGTGCCAATGTCTATTTTTTTTAGTTTCGCTTAACAGGCGAAAATCTGAAGTATAAATTTTGCCAGTATTTTATCAATTCGTAATAATCTCTATAAAGTCATCAATTTGCTTGTTAATAAAAACTGTTCTATTAATGTTGTCGGATTAGGGATTCTTAAGATTACATAAGCACTTTTCTAATTATATCTAATTCTTCCTAATAGCCAACAGAGCCATCCGAGGTCCATCACAAAGGCAATTGTTATAATAATTAAGCAACACCGAACAATGCCGTATCCGCCAACGGAGTTCTCGTTCGACGAACTTTCGGCGCCCAACTCGCGCCCGACTCGCTTAGCGAGGAATCCATTGTACGGAATAACGTCGCTAATCTGCTCCCGCGACACTTTACATATTAAGCTTGAATATAACATTGTAAGAAACAAAGTTTAAGCTACGAATGCTTCATGCATGACAAACTATATATTTTCACACTTAACATAAGAGTAAGTTTGCAACTGTATTAAGACAAGCTTACACTCTACGGAATTTTAAATGTATGTTTTGTATAATATCGCGCTAAATGAAAATCCGTAAATTGTTAAATGATAACAATTTTCAGATTAGTTACAACAATAACATATTTTGTTAATACATTTTCCGTTAGTTTACAATATGACTAACACGATTTTAAAACGAAGTTTACAGTCAGTTAGTTGTAATTTAAATATTTAAGTTTATAAGTTCATTAGCGGACCCGACAGACGTTTTCTGACAATTTGACACTGCGATGGTAGCGCCGTCTGTCGGATCCAATGTAAAACATTCCAAAATCAACAACTACTAATAAATTAAAAGTTAATTAAAAAAAAAATTGTCCAGCGGACAAAATTGTGAATCTAAACCATTCCCAGATCCCCTTGAACACACACAAAAAAATTTCATCCAAATCGGTCCAGTCGTTTGAGAGAAGTTCAGTGACATACACACTCTCAGAAGAATTATATATATAAAGATTGATAAATGCATCTTACTAATATTATAAATCCGAATGGATTAAAGTTTGTTAGAAGGTATCTACAGAATGGCTGCATGGATCTCGCTGAAATTTAGCATAGATGTAGAAGATATTCTGGAAGAATACATAAGTTACTAATTAAGTTTTATTTTAATTTCGTGCGGACGGAGTTGAGGGCGACAGCTAGTTGTGTTATCGTATTTCATAATATATGTAATACATTTATATTATTTGCTATCCAAGGTAACGAATCATAAATCTTAACCTCATAGCATAAATTTACATATGATATAGTGCCCGATAAATATTTCATGTTTTATTCAAACACTTTTGGATGGTCTGAAATAAGTTCCCTCTTTGTATGCGCTTTTTTTTTAAATTTATCTATTTAATGCTGAAGTTAAGAAATCTCTTTGATGATTTATTCTTTACCAATCCTCTTACAGAAAGAGCTGCTAGATATCTATTATAATAGGTTTGGTTTTAAGTAATTAAAATTACTCGTATCAAATACAATATTTTTTATTAACTTCAAAAGGTAACTTGGTCCTATTCCTTCTTCTTAAGTTCCTTTATTCGTATTTTCATACAACTACAATACATAACGAAACAATTTATAAAAACTATAAGAGTAACCTTGGGTTTCTGAGACCAAAATTCAGGTTTAAAACATATTATTTCTCTCTGTTTTGTCAAATATAACAATAATAACGTTGTATAAAAACAAAAATAAGAAATTAATTAATTTCCTAAAATACGTTTAGAATATAAGGCAAGGAAAATAACTGTTTGATTTAACAAGTTTCCTACAACGAAACCTACAATCTTCGTCTGAAATGGGTAAGGCAACAAAAGGCTCTTCTGCGGCGATATCTAATTACTACAATACAGTTTGCGTTATTCGCACAACTATTTGGACTGCTTTCATTTCTGTTTAACTCTAGACTGTCTACAATTCAAAGCTTAAATCTTTTCACGAAACAAGATCGGTTTTATAAAAATACTAGCTCTCGCCCGCGACACCGTCTACGCAGAATTAAAAAATAACTTAATAAGTAGGTCATGGTCTTCCAAACTATGTTATATATGTATGACAAATTTCATAGAGATTCGTAAGATATCCACCAATCTAAACTTTCGCATATTTATATTTTTCTATACTAGTATCACAAAGCAGAAAGATTTAATTTAAAAAAAATGTTAAATTGGCAATTAATTTTGAGTGTACTAAAAACCTAAACCGGTTTTTTTTTTCAGATCGTTGTAACCTTAATTATATTTTATTAGTTTACTAGCTGACGCCCGCGACTCCGTCTGCGCGGAATTAAAAAAAAAACTATTGGTCGCAGCGTTATGTTATATAGATTAAAGCCTTCGTCTTCGTCGTATAAATGGACTATCCAACGAAAAAGGAATTTATCAAATCGGACCAGTAGTTCCTGAGATAAGCGCGTTTATACAAACAAACAAACTCTTCTGCTTTATAATATTAATACAAATTAATATTATATTCGAAACTGGGACATATTATTAGTCTTATATAAATACTAGTTGAATAAAAGTAGCTGAATGTTATCAAACATAGAACAGTAATAGCTATTGTCAGATTACATGAGTGTAATTTTCTCTGACAATAATTTATGA